AAGACCCAGTCCCGATAAGGCTTAGTGAAGTAAAGAGACAGTAAAGGGGTCAGTGTGGGGACAAAACTGATGACAATATATGTGGAATACTCGAAAATTGAATGGGTCAGAATTTTGGATTGTCTCAAGAAAAAACATGCCATGGCCAATATGAACAGAACTGGCAAGCACGCTTGATAAGTTATTGCCTAAAAGTTGCATTATTGTTGATCAATGTATTTTTACAATTTAAACTTACTTTGAGCAGTTGGAGGTGCAGGCGTTTGGTCTGTTTCGACATCGTTTTGTGACTTTCTAACTTTGCAATAATTCTTCTTCTTATTATAAGTATAGCTGTGTAGACGGGAGTTACAGGAACACACATGTGTACCACAACAAAAAACATACTCCATTTGAAAATGTTGAAAGTTGCGCTGACACATCTTTGGTTTATATCATAATCGACTGTTTCACTTAACTTTTTTCTTGCATCGTCTTCAGGTTCACATATGAAAAATGTTGTGATCTAAACATTTTTGCTTAGTTGAATCTTTTTTCCTGCTTATTACCACTCTACTTCAACTAAATTGAAGCTAAGTTATTCGGAACCTACGAGTTGCACTGCAGACGGTAGGTAAATAAGGATGATGATGAAAATAACAGAGCGCATTTTTGGTATGGGTTTCAAGAGTACGTAGTAACGATAAGAAAATAATAGTAGCAAAGTATATAAAGCGTGTGGATAGCAATGCAACATTATGGCAAAACTGGAAAACAACTTCTTATCTCTCAGAAGTATAATAATTAAAACTGACGTGATAACGCAGGCAGTTGTTCCCAGTATACAACAAGGTCCATATGAGATGTGGAATTGCATCACACCGTTTGAAATAGACCTAAATATTATGGAATTTACAATGCTTATTTCTGCTTTGTAAGAAATAATTAACCTTTGCTGAATCATTATTGCGAAAGAGCATGCCGTGAAGTCGCTCAGTGCTAAGCTGAGAATCAGAATGGAGTATGTCCTGAGCTCTGTCGGAGTTCTCTTGAGTACCAAAAATATCACAACAGAATTTGCGCAAACTCCAAATAAGTTCACAATCACATGTAATGTATAGGCGATAATTTCGAATGAATTCATTGTGCAGGATTGGCCAGTTCAGCTAAGGGAAGAGTGATGGGAGTGAAGTGAAGTGAAGTATTGTAGTGTAAAGCTTATGCTTTGTTATTATAACTGACATTTTTGACTGCGTATACGCCTACAAATATTATTTACAACATCGCTTTTCAATACTCTTACATAAGCATGATGATTGGTGTTATTAATCAACAGTTTGACT